TGCCACTAGACCTGCTGCCCAGGGTTTCTGGTAGTTGCAGTTCAAGAACACTTGGGATACCCAAGGTTGGGAATCGCTGTCTTAAACTATGTATGCACATATAAACACTCTTTCAAGTATTTTATACTTCTGGACACTTCAGAGTCCACTACAGTACACTGATACATTTTTCACTAGTTCCACTTTGTTTCTGATCTTATTCTCTCAAGACCCAAGACCATTATTAAAGGGAGTGATGAGGCCAGGATTTGTACTTCATCTTCTTGCAATTAACCAATTTGTGTATATATACTCTTAACTTTGAATATTTTAATTTAGATTTCAGTAGCAATCTACTGAGTTTACTTTCACACACAGACTTGAACAACTGGATTGTAGAATTACCTCCTCGTGAGATTCAAAGACAGAACTGGAGATGACTTTTGAGCAAAATAGACAAGAGAGGATAACTGACTACATGTTATTTCATGTTCACATTCCAGTCTATTACCATAATTGTGGAAATGTATCGGCTGAAATTCTGTTGCTTACAGTAGGCCCACTGAATCTGTGGGAATCTGATGAGTCAACTCCTCTGTAACTTCCACTGATTCAACTAGGCCTATTCGAGTTGCAACTTACTTTAGTGTAGTAAGTCACAACTCATGTAGGCTAATTTTGATCAATGGAATTGATAGATGAGTTGACTCACCAAAGTCCTACTGATTCAACAGGCCTACTTGACTTACTATGCTAAGCAACAGTATTTCAGTCATCATCTCCAATCACATTTGGTAAGCATTCCGAGGTTTATTTATTTTCATTTGCTGTGTTATGCGTAGCTTACTTGTTTGAATTAGCTACCTTATTTTACTCAGCAGTGTTTGCCTCCATTTGCACAATTTGTTTGTGGAAATTTATGTTCTGACTGAGAGATAAAACCATCCTTAGAAAAAAAGATGGGGCGATTTGATCATTAAAATTCTTTTTAGCAACTCAAATGTACACAAGTATTCTGCCCCTTCACAATGTTAAAAAGTAGCAGAAATGGGATTACTGTGTCAACACAGCCCATGTGTGTTTATCTACAAAACATTTATATTTATTAGGGCTTACTCACAAATAGGTGTGCAAAGACTACAACCTCAACAGAGACATCCAGGCTTTTTCCAGGCTTTCACATCTCTAAGCCTAAATCATCATCAGCTTCCATCTGCTACCTCATGACCTGGATTAGTGCTTGAATGCAGAGATACTCCTGATGAGGGCAAATAAACAGAAACAGAATCCCAACACAGAGGTGGGTGTGTCACGCTCGTGGGGTGGGTGTGTCGTGCTCACAGAGGGGTGTGTCGTGCTTCACAGCGGCATCATCTCTGTTCTTCCTACAGGACTATGAAGTCAAATACAGTGGTGCCTCGCACAACGGGCGCCTCGTAGAGCAATGAATTCGCTCTACG